GGCAATATAGAAAGGGAGAATAACTCACAGCGAGGGCATAGAGATGCCAAATAGACAAACCATAAAGTGTAATCAGCCTGAAGCCTATAAATATCTGGGCATACTACAGCTGGACAGTATCAAGCATGGACATGTGAAAAATGTGGTCAACAAAGAATATGTCCAAGGGGTCAGAAAAATTCTGAAGAGCAAATTAAGTGGTGGAAATACAGTTAATGCCATGAACATCTGTGCCATCACTGAAAAAGTTACAGAAAGTGAACACGTCAAACTACTGTGGGACTTCCGAATTCAGACTGAAAGAATTTTGGAGCACAATACTGATCTCACAATCATGGAAAAAACAAAACAAAGTATGGATTATTCATGTTGTAATCCCAGGTGACAGCAGGATTGATGAGAAGCAATTGGAAAAGCTTACACAATATGAGGATTTAAAGATCAAACTGCAAAGGCTCTCGCACAAGCCAGTAAAGGTGGTACCAGTACAGTACAGATCAGTACGCCTAAAGACCTTGGCCTGCACTTAAAAAAAATATCAGTGCTGGCAAAATGCCCATCTGTCAGCTGCAAAAGGCCACCCTACTTGGATCTGCACGCATTATTTCCTGATACATTACATAGTCTTAGACACTAGACACTTGGGAAGTATCTGACATATGATCGAATGCAAAAGCCAGCATAGTGATCTTGTTTGGTGTATACTAATCTTGTTATGTATCGTAATAATAATAATAATAATAATAATAATAATAATAATAATAATAATAATAACAATAATAAGCATGGTGATCATGTTGGCTATGTGCCAATGTTGTTGTGTATCAAATAATAATAATAATTTATTTTTTTCTCCTGCAGATATTATCTTTAATGGAGCTGAAATACTTCACATTTGAAAGAGGAAAGAGTACTTCTCAGGTAACCAAGTGTGCCACTTTCCAGGCTGTCCTTAGTGTAAAGGCATTTTACCTGCTCAGGCACTGTCAGTGTGTTGATACTGCAAACTCTTCTTCCTCCTTTTGCTTTCTTTGCTGGTTCTGTCAGCCTCTGGATAGAGCTTCTCAGCAAGAGGAGGAGGAAGACACTATCAGCCAAGTATCGTCTGTCACCAGTTTATCTTCTGCAGTCACAACCGCCGCAAGCAAAGCGAGACAAGGAGGAACAAAAGCTACTGATAAAGAGGTGAGCTGAGTAAGCACTGGCCCACTGGCAGGGAAGCAGAAAACCAGGGCCTGTCCAGACAGGCTCATAATCT